CTGCCAAACACAGAATTTTTCGTGTTTTCACTGTTAAACGCTAGGTGGCGCTATTACGCATCTCCTGAATGAGTCTAGAAAATGCCGATCAAAAACACAGACCAGGAAGACGCAGAAACCAGACCTCTCATATGTAAGCATATGCATATGAAAAATAATGCGATCATCAACACTAACCGCGTATAAATGAAACCTGTCTAACGCTAGCGAGTGAAATGTGGATCCAGAAAGTGTTAAAGGTCTGTGAAGCTTTGGGAGCGCTGATGGAAGCCATCTACTGCAGCTTTGCTTTGATAATATTACTGAATATGATCCAGATGTAGTATTTGATACAAATTAGATTTTTTGCTCAAAATGTTGCTTTTTTATGAAACCTACCAACATTCAAGTGTTGATAAAAAAACAATGCTTGAAGCTAGAATAAAACAGATTTTTTTTGTTTGAAAGTAGAGGGTCTGGTTTTTATTTTAATTGCATGTTCAGATATACTTACAACAAAATATTCTGGAGGCCATGATGAAATTTTAGTGAACATCAGCAAAAACGCTGGCGGTGGCTGGCAACTTTTTTCAAAAACGCTAGCGGGGAAAGGGTTAAGGCACACGTGATCCAAGTTAGCCGTTACGCTTTCTCCAATAGTAAGTAGTACAGACCCTCTCATCTCCCAATAGTAAGACCATCTCTGATTATCCCTCTGTGTGCCGTAGGCTGCCGACCCCTGGTCTAAACTCTCTCCTGCTCTGGAGGTGCGTCTCACCTGGATCCGCTCACCTGCGCTCCCACGCCGCACTCCAGCTTGACGGTGACGCGTCCGGTGGGCGGAGCCAGCCAGTCCTGCTGATGCACTCTGGGACTGAGTTTGCTCGGGCCGTATTCGCCGGCGGCGGAGGCCGTCATGTCCGTCTTAGAATGAGGCGCTCCGTACGAACACTCGAATAAAGACTGATCCTCACTCACCACCAACAGCGCCTCCTGTAGGACACACACAGAGAGAGTTTGCGTTTCTGAGCCGAGAGTTCGTACAATTACTGTAAAAAAGAACAAAAATGTAAGACGGGGCTTGGTTATATCCATTAGTTGTTGATTGGATGTTGAGATGTGGGCGTGGCTGTCAAAAATGGAGGCGTGTCTAACTGTGAGCTTGTAGTGGATTACAGGCAGTGTTGGGTAAATTACTCTAAAAAAGTAATTAATTACTAATTACTTTCTAAATCCTATATCAAGTTAATGATACAAGGATGGACATAAAACAGTTCTTTTCATTCTTTCAAGTAACTACATAAATTATTCTGGTCACAATTTAGATTAGGGTCCAATTAACTAACTATTAACTATGACTTTTGCCTCAAAATACTCCTAATTACTGATTATTAATACTTAGTAAAGTCGTTTAAGAATTGGGTAGGATTAAGGATTTAGAATAAGGTCTTGCAGAATAAGACATTAATATGTGCTTTTTAAGTAATAATAAACAGCCAATATCCCAGTAATATTCATGCTAATAACCAACTAGTTAATAGTGAGAGTTGGACACTAAAGTGTTACCAATATTCTCATTAACTCACCAAAGTATTTAAAGTGAGAAGGGTACATAAAAAGCATGCATTTTAAAATGTTGATGTTAAATCCACTATTGTATTGTGTATAAATGTTCTACAGTCTATACACAGCATTAAGTTCAATGTCATAAGAAGTAACTGTAATTAAATGACAGAAAAAATAAGAGTAATCCCTTATTTTACTTTTTCAAGGGAAAAGTAATTAAATTACAGTAACTAATTACTTAGTAGCTAGTTACATCCAACACTGATTATAGGAAAGGGGCGGGGTTTACACAAACCACTATAAATGATTGGACAAGAACTCATGTCAGACAACATCTCCAGGACGCTACGCTCCATATGACTAGTAAGCCAAATCTCAAATAACTGCCCTGATGACTTGTGTTCTACCCGCTTAAATGATAGAAGTACTTGTGCTGTCCAATCTATAAAGACTGTGTCTGTTCCCCGAATAGTGAGGTCAAAATATAAATTTAATGCAGGATCTTACAAAATATTATTACTTGCCTATAAGGCCCTTAATGGGTTAGCTCCTGCGTACCTAACTAGTCTTCTACCACGCTACAATCCATCACGCTCCCTAAAGTTTGATACCTACTGTCCTCCATCAGCACCTAACTAACCATCACTAACCCAAACTAAACTCAAACTAACAATCACGAGACACTGAGACAACTCAGCAGCTCCTCAAATTTTTGACGTTCCACTATATTTGTGAACACATTGAACATCTGACCCTCACAAAGATAGAAAAACACACTTTAAACTAACTGTATGTGTCTTTAAATGTGACATATCTGCCACATTATTAACCCTGTAAAGCCTGACATGATATAATCATCAGAAATGTCTTTATGAGATGGAACCTTTTGCTGAAAACTGAGCAAAAATATGAATTAGCTGCAGATGCTGATATTTCAATGTTGAAATTCTGATGCTTGCGATGTAAATCAATGAGATCTTTATAACAGTAGATACTGACATAAAATGATCTAAAAATCAGTCGTGGCTCTGTATCTCCAGTAATCTGTCTCAGTAAGATGAGATTGAAATGCTCCAAACATATAATGCAGTGATTGAGAGCTGAAGAAATAAAGGCTCCTCAGAAGATGTGAGATGTTCTGGAGGCTTGTGAAGATCATTCCTCCGCTGAGGAACAGTGAAAGTAAAGCTTCTGGAAACAAACGCTCCTCAAAAGATCCTGAGGATCAGATTTGAGACTCTAAAACATGATTGATGGAGAATCAAGTAAAGCTGAGCTGCTTCAGTCCAGTAAGTGTTCATCTGGAGATATTACTGCAGTTATTCTGACCTTTACTTGATCAAAATCAGTCAAGATTTGACACGAGAAGCTCCAGCTGAAGCTGGACACTTGTACAATTACACTAAAAGAGCTTTTACTGCAACTCTAAACTATCAA